AAAAAAAAGTAGCTTTGATAATAGTTTGGGCCTATGAGAATTAATTTTTGCAATTTCAGCTACTAAGAGAAGCAATTTCGACCAGAAACCTTAATCTCTACCTGTTTTTTACCTGTCTTAAGTTGTCTACTGCCAAATCTAATAAATATATCCTCCATCCCCATCTCATATTTTATAGATATCATCAAGAATAAGGGTCCTTTTGTATAATTCTTCTATTTTTTCCCCTCCTTTGAGATCTGGTTACTTTACACATAAGTTGTATCTAAACTGTGCAGATGCATTATATAAGGATCTTCACAGGATCACACTATCATCTAACACAACTCTCACATTTTGAACATAGGAGAGACATCATATCTGGGTAACTAATTATACCAAATATTGATGTAAACTTACCAGTTCTTCTAAATCCTTGCCAATATCCCTGCTTTGAGATGCTCTTTTTTTAACACATTCTCATTTTGTGTTATGTTATATAATAATTTTAAAAATTATCATTTTTTTTACAATCAGCAGTCCACTCACCAATTTCTACTTGTTTATATAAAGCAGTAGTGTGTCAAGTTCCTGTGTTAATAGAAATGCTTCCATTTCTAAGTTTGACTATGAAAATTGGTAGTTTTTAGAAAATGAAAATAAAAAGTTAACATTTATTTCAAATATACTGCCCTTTTAAACATTTTCTTTCCATGTTTTACTCTATATCTAAAGGGTGAATAATATATTTACACCAAGAATTCCTCTTGGTTGGTAATTAAGGCCCAGTAGACCTTCCTAAAAATGAATATCAAATTGGGTCTGTGCATAATTTATATAGTTACATCACATATTAATATATTTCGGAAGCAGAATTCCTTTATGAGTTGTATTTGTTTGAGATATTTGTGTCCATTTGTAGGTGAAAACGACCAATATATCCATTAAAAAGGAGCACCATGGAAAGAAAATGTTAATACACTAATATTAATCTTTGATTTGACAAATGTAAGAATATATGATTTGCTTTTAATAATTTATGTGGTTTGATTGATTTACAATGTTTTATTAATTTAATAATGCTTTTCTGATAGGTAGTAACATAGAATCTTTACACATCTCATAGGCCCTGAATCAATGTAAAAAATAAGCTTAATCATTTTTATACAACAATACATACCTCTTATTTATTCATAAAAACAGGAGGAGGTCTGGAAATCATATAAAAACACACAACATTAGATTAGATTGCTTTGCATTTGTGTAACATTATCAGTTGAAATTCTTTTGGATAGCTTGATCCAGGATATGAGAATGACCCTGCGATTTATTCAGTCATCACCTTATCAAATTCTGATCTAAAATTAGTTTTGGAATCCATTCCGTCTCAGCCTGTTTCTTCTTCCACTCTACCTCATTAAGATATTAGCAATTGGAATGTTATGATACATGGCACTGATAAACCATTTAATACATTTAATATAAAAAAAAACAGAAGTCAATAATAATGATAACACTAACAGTAATAAAATAAATTTAATAAAGGTTTATTTGCTAGGATCTGATAAACATTCAGCACTTAAAATTCATTTACATTGGTTGTTATTAATTTGCAAAAGTAATTTAATAAAAATTTCTATTTAAAAAATCTTTTTCCCTTAATTTTCTGTCTGAACCTGAAAATTGCTCTCAATCCAATTTTTTACCATCTCCAAGCATTCTAAATTATTAAAGTAAAATCGCATGGCCTTATCATCACCCCATTCCCACCAACCAAACAATTTTAAAGTAATAAACCATTCCAGCACATCTTCATTTCTCAAACCTCGAATAAAGTTGCCATCAGTAATTTTAAGGACTTTGCTCTTCTTAGTGAAGTCAGGTCCTAATCCATATGAGAAGGATTGATAACAATTATCCAGAGGATAAAAATTTGTATCGGACTTAAGGCTAATAGGCACTCCTATAGAGGACAGGATATTTCAAATATTGCAATTTAAAAATTCATATGACTTCAAACATAACACTTTCATACCTAAATTCCAAGACCATGTCTCCACAACCCAATTGCATTTCAGTGCTCGTTTTACTATGGGTCCATAGTCTTTATCACCACCAATAATAATTAAAATACCAGGATCATTGGACATAATTGTTTCTATTGCTGCCATTGCAAGCTCTATATGAGCCTCCTTCTCATGGTGGTTTTTGATATCCTGATCAAACACATTCATCTCAAATCCTTGATCCTTAGTGCGTAGCCACAATGAGTCATTAGGGGGTGGTTGAGAACCAATCAAGAATGGCGCACCACCTAGTTTATGTCCATGCTGAACTGTAGTGAGAAGCCTACCATAATCAATCTGGAGATGTTTAAAATAATAGGAACTTTTATCATAATCAAAAGTACCTAACTGCTCAAGGTTGCCAATGGTGTACTTTCCTTCGGTCTAGATGTTTGAGTTATCAATGAATATGTGTACAAGCTTAGTAGGTGGCCTATCTATTAAAGGTGTTCTTAAAATTTCTTAACCAACCGTTCTATTCTTTTGGCTGGACCAAGAGATAATCCAATACAATAGAGATCTTCTTCTTTCAAGAGAACAAAATCTTCACCAGCAATTCCACTTTTCTTGATCATTTCAATGTCATTGTTAGTAAGGTATAAGTCATCATCTCCAGACTCTAAAAAACTAACAATTTGTGCAGGTGCCCACTCTCTGATTTTTTCAACTGAAGGAAAAGACTTCCTGGTACTAGTATCTTGACTTAAATTCCTTTTTTGGTGTTGCAAACATTTGAGAAGTTTGTGATTTGGCAAATTAGTTAACCAATGACTGTTCTTTTTTGTCAAAGCTTCATTCAAGCTAGTTTGATTACTATATGTGAGGAAACACTCCAACCTGTTTCAAAAATAATGATGCATAATTCTGGGGTTAGTAAATTGGCATAACATAGCAAAAGAGTAAGGAAATTGGTGGTGAGGAGAAAGTAGTGTAATCTGTTTTGAGTAAATGTTTTATCTTGCCGAGTAACTGAAAAAATTTGAAATATTGTTAAGATGCTCTGTTGCACAAATTGTCTTACGATCTGCATGCTAATTAAATGTCCAATTATAATTGATTATGCAGACAGGCTATCAAATTTGAATTTCAATCAAATCAATAATCCCAAATCCCAAATTACTTTGTACAATACACACTCTCTATAACAAACTTTTCGAACTGGACTAAAAAAGATCATCATAGACGAAGTGATAATCGCATGAATAAAACTTTATTTTTTTAAAAAAAATAATATATATACAAAAATATAACCATTTTGCAAAATTACAATAAAAATAATATAAATGCAAAGATAAAAAATTAGTTACTAATGTTGATTGTTGATTTGGATCAAATTCTACTTTTTTAATTTTTCTAAGACTTTTTAATGGTTTACTTTCATTGTTGCCTAGTTGCAACTTTTCGGGTGGAAATTCTTAATGACTTCTTGATTTTGCTCATTTGGAGTAATCATTAAAATTATTTCTTGTTCATTTGATTCATTATTACTTTCTTCATCATCTTCTCTAATCTCATCATTTAAATTCACTTCCATTTTTTATAATTCATTATCTTCATTTCCCAATATAATTCATCCTCATCTATGTCAATACAACAACATTTTTGTGGAAAATTTGGTATATTTTTAATGTGCTGTTCACAACGATTTGCAACAGCAAGCAATTTATGTGAACAATAATTACACTGAGCTCTTTCTTGTTTATAAATGGCCTCACGGCCAAGCTTTGTAAAATGAGACCAAATTTTATTAAGTACATGTTCATTATATTATTCGTTGGGACATTATGCGCATCACTAGTAATAATACTTTAGTAGTAATAAATTTGATATATATACATACAGCCCAAATCGATTGTGAATGTCATAATATTACGGCATCTGATTAATAGCCGTAATGTCATAATTAGGTCGTAATGTCATAATATATACCAAATGTAATAATAATCAGTGTAATCCTGTAGCCGAGTTTGAATTAACTTTTGAGGTACACTCGTCGATTAATTCATCAATTAACTTGTTTTACGAATTTTCTGCCTCTTTCTTGTACCTAAAAAGCTTCGGCGAATTTGTAGGCACATTTTTACGGTACAATTAATAAAAAAACAAACTGTAGTCCTATTTCAAAACAACAAATGCTTTAGTGAAGCACTTTGTTTATTTGCTTTTACTTTGGTTGATCAAATCCAGCCTTACGTTTGCAAAATACTTTAACACAATACAACAAAGTGATATGTGATAACTACCCTGGTTAATAAATGTCAGCACTTTATATCTGGACAAACAAACTTAACACCTTACGTTTTCACAAAAACACTTAAATTCTTTTACAAAAAAAAAAACGCTTACGCTTAACAAAAACCAAAAACCAAAACCTTTGTTTTCTACTAAAGCAAGTAACCAAAACCGAGTTACAAAAACCCAGAGTTCTATGTAGGGTTTCTATTCTAATAAGAATCAATATTACGAACAGAAACTCTAGTTCTATACCACTCTGATAACCAAATGGACAATTAAAACTACTGTTTAATTTCCGACTACAAAGTGTTTTTATTAAACAAAAGAATTAATTAGGACATTACGACATGATTATGACACTACAACATTACACGATTTCGAAAGTCATGCTGCATGTATAATTATAACTGTCAATTTGTTTATTAAAATTTTGTAATTATAATTTCTTATTTCTTAATTATCTACCAAGCATCTCACTTGAACAACCTTTTTTTCAAGAAGCTAAACCATCAAGGGAAATCCAAATGTATATTTACCAGTGATATTACACAACATGTAAAAAGTACTTTCCAACACCCTGTCATCATTCTTGGGTTCTCATTATGATACAGTTATAATTATGGTATTTATTAAGGCTCCATATGAGCCAACTCATGAAGATTATAAAATAAATAAACATATGAATGAAACATAATAAATGAGAAATAAAAGAGTGTAAAATTATAAATTTACAGGCAAAAAATTATCAATCCTAACATCATGTTCTAAATTAATATCCGTTCCTTCTTTTTTAATCTTTATTTTAATTTTAAAGGCTACAAGAATATGTTCAAGTTTGATCGTCCGTCCAAATTTTGTCATATCTTCAGGAATATCCAATACAAAAGTATAATAACATTCATTATAATTATCCCACATAATTTTGTCTCCAATAACTTGTTTTTTTAATACATATTTCTCTTCATGTTTTGAGCCACCTTGGGCATTAAAGCTACAATATTTTTTTAACCCAACAAATATTTCTTTAATCTTTAATTTAGGATTATATGATTTCAATTTCACATAAACAATTATTGGGTTACTAGGTCCAAAATTTATATCATCCATACGAACGTTATAACCTATACCATTTGATATGGTGGCCTTTTCAGTATCATATTCTACCCAATGTACAGGAACTGGTGGTGGGAGTAAACAATATTTTAAGATGTTACAATTACATTCGATATTTTTCCTTGGTCCTTGAAACTTCCAAAAATTCCTTTTTCGAGATATTTCTGCAGTAAGTTTATAATCAATATTACCAATTTCTGACCTTAAAGTTGAAGCAAGATTTTCTGGTAATTTAATTTTGAATGGTAAATCCATGTTTGATATTTTTTGATAAGAATTACCCGATTTTTCCAATAAACACGCAGATATACAACATAAAATATTGGTAGCTGAATATGTTTCAGTGTGAAGCCCATCACCAATACTTCTTGTCCTTGACTCAGTCCAATATACATGCTCGGTACCAGTAAATTTTAAAATAATTTGATTGGCGAGCAATTGATTAAAGTGAAGATGGAGTGTACCAATCAAGTAAGAATCTTCTATTCCTAAACGTCCAATTTGAAATGAAGATTGGTCCTTAGGATATGAAAAGTTTACTTTGGTACTATATTTTCCATAGCTTTGTCGCGATGGTTGATTCATATTGAGTAAGATGTTAAATATCAAATATGAAAATAATATTTTTAGGATTTTGGAATTTTAAGACTATATATAAAAAGGAATTGGTTGTTTCACGAAAACTGTATTACTTCCTAATATGTAGATGTTCCTTGGTATTCTGCCAATTGACCTATAAATAAAATTGGTTATTGTCCTTCTAATTTTTTGCAAAATCTTCTTTAAAAGTTGGTCGATTGACTATTTTTATCAAATTGACCAATAAGAATACAAGATCATGGTCAAAAAAATACTGTGTTACTATTAAAGAATACTCTGACCGTTTAAGGGATAATAATAAGGTTCTCAACCTTATAATTAGTATTAATGATGACTATATTCGAATAAATATTCGGTAATACATACCAAATCAGCAATGATCATTATCATGAACAAAAGTCATGCCATGCACAATTTTTAATAAAACAAGTAATTTGAATAATTTGAATAAAATAAATGAATAATTCAAATAAAACAAATAAACAGCGAATAATTTGAGTAAAATGAATAATAATAAAACGTGTAATTCGAATAACTAAATAAAACGAATAATTCGAATAATAATAATTCTACTCTCATAAACAAGGCCCGAAATATCAATACAAACTTTTAATTAAACGATTGATTGATTGTTCTTTCACTTGGCCAAAAATGGCGTTATCTTTTAAAATTAATTTATATGAAATAAACAATATACTGTAAATAAAATTCGAATATAAAAATATTAATAAAAAACGAAGGCTAGATCACATGTCCGAAGCACGATCGGGCGGCCATAATTTTGAAATGTTAATATGGTATGTAGTACCCGAATATTCGAATACTACTCGATAACATTAATATTAACATCAGTGTTAATGTTAAGATGATAATTAGAAGAGAAATTAACATGAAGTAATTCTCAACTTTTTAAAATGTCGTTGGTGATGGAGTGAATCAGTGCAGTGTTTTATCAAACTGGAAAAGGAATTTTCTATATCGAATGATATTAAATTGCAAAAGTTTACAATTATTATGAAAGAATTGCCTCCAAAAATACTAGCCGACTTCTATCTATTACCGTATAGTCCCGAAAGATAGCATTCCCTTTTTACAATCATTTGTACTGTGTAACAAATAATTTTCAATTGTTTTAGTGGATGCTATCTTTCAGGACTATACGTAGTCGAACTCCTATTATTTTGAAGGTTTTTCCGTTGACTAAATAGAAAATGAGCGAAAAAGATCTCATTTGCATTATCGCACAATTGTCATTAACCTTAATATATAACAATAATAAGTATTGATTACCCAATAAAATTTTTGTCTAAACAAATATGGTAAGTAATAATAAAGCTATAATTACCTAGTTGATTCGTAGCTAGCAGATTGTGCAGATAGAAAAAACTCGGTTACTTTAGGGATGTAAAGATTCCACAGCAAGTTCACTGATTCATAAACGGATCATCAATTAAATTTTTATACAGAACGACATATTTAAATTCATGTATGTTAATAGCGTTTAAATTTTGTTTGACAAAAAACATTATTGTATGGTAATAATAACCTATGTTAATCACATTCTCTGATTACTATGAAATAAATATACTGTCAAAGTAACCTTTTAAGTTTGAATAAAGAAATGATAACAAGTTTCGACTTGAGAAAATCAATCCCACAAATTATTAAATCAATAATAACCCAAAGTTATTCGTTGATAATTAAATAATGTATGAATTTCTATCATGTGAGATATTCACTTATGTTTCCTTTGTAATTTTTTGCACATATATGGGTGGTCTTTCAGTGACACAAATAAAATATTAATATGTTTAATTGGATGTTAATGAATTATAAAAAATCAGAACAAACTGGGTTGAAGCTAGACTGACTTGATGCGGCTAAATAAAGTATGATGACTAAAGGCAGTTCCTATTTTGATGAAGAGCACAAAGTTTATTGCAGCTTCGTAAAAATCAGCATGACTAATAAAATAATAATAATATAAACAGAACTGTTATAACAATCGGTGATTTGGCTAAACCCCAAAATAACACAGTAATACAATTAGCGAGGGTTATGGTCAAAAACGCAAAATACACCTCACTCGACTGTTGTCGAAAATGCAAAATAATTATGCCTCATTAACCCGCAATCAAATGACGCCATACAAGTGAATGCATTGTTGGGATGCATATGAATCCTATTTTTTTTACTACCTAATCAACGTGACTAGAAATTAAAAATTGGTCAATACGAATTTCTAGATTATAATTAACCCAGGAATGTGGCCAAAAACGCGAATTAGACCGCATTGATATGATAGTTCACATGTGGCCAAAAAAAAGAATTAGGCCACATAAGTAGGTAATAAGTAGGTAACAGTCCAATCATAAGTAGGTAACAGTCTACTGTAAGTAGATAACAATATATATACATTGTTACCTACTTGACTGAAGCTTGATTGTCCTGTAAAGATGATATAGAACAGTAGCTTTCTACTTATTATTTGAATCCAGGAATCCTTTCAAATCTATCTATATATGGTGTCACGAGTATATATCTTCCATAATTGGTATGATCTACGAGTACTTATGAGTATGACACGTCACGCTGGACAAAAGTGTACTACATTTTGTTAATTGCATTTTGTTGTAAAGAAATAAGTGCAAATGTAGTACATTTTTTTCCATCGTGGCGTGCCATACATGAGTATTCGGATATTTCTACGAGTATAAACACTAATACCATGGCATTATAATTGCTAGAAGTATTTCTGTAAAAGAACACCTCTGATTAAGAACACATTTGGCTCAACCAATGGTGGTGTTCTTATTCGATATTAACGGGTTTGACTACTACTACATTAATATTTAATATATTAATATAGTCGAATCAGACTAACAGAAGTACTAGTACCCGTTAATTTGTAGATCCCGTAGTGGCTGCACAATTAAAGGGGTTGTTCCAACTTTTAATTTCCTTTATTATTATATTATTATTATTCATTTTTACTTTAATAATGTCGTTCATTTCATCTTTTAAATATGTTTCTGATAAATTCAAGTCAAATAAGCACGGAAAATATACTCCAATTAATGAACAGGTTAATATTACAGCTAGTAGTAGTAATAGTGGGAGCGGTAATATTGAAGTAGAAAATATCAGAGAACCAGTGGTGGTGGAAGAAGACAGCATTACTCCACCTAAAGATGATTACAATATTATCTATTATATTTTTTTTTTGCAAGGAATTTCAATGCTTTTACCATGGAATGGTATTGATTAATATATTATTATAGTTAATATTAATAATAATCTTATTATTATTATTATTATTAATTAAAATTGATATACTATCTAGTATTCATTACAGCCTCGGTATATTTTCATACTAGATTTGTTGGATCACCTTATGTTAATAATTTCCAAAATTATTTTTCATTTGTTTTTATGATCATTAGTTTTATTTTTCTTGGATTAGCTTTATATACTCATGGAAAGGTAGTTATAAAAAATTTCGTGAGTGATGATAATGGCGAATAGATACTAACATACAAAATATATTTAATAGTCAAATATACCATTTAGAATAATAACATCATTAACAGTTTCAGTGATTAGTCTTTTATTATTATCATTATCAACAAAAAACAAGGATTTGGTCTCACCTACAGCATATTTTTATTTTGTTATATTTTTGGTGGGTATATCAGGTGTAACAACTGGTTATTTACAAAATGATACATTTGGAACTGCTGCTCAAATTTCACCTAAATATACTCAGGCTGTTATGAGGTGAATTAATAATAATTATAATAATAATGATATTATAAGAACTGAATCTTAGTGAATATTAATAAAAATGTTATATATTATTTTAGTGGTCAAGGTACTGTTTTTTTATTTGACCACTATATGTTTATAAAAATATCTAGATAAATATCAATAATTATAATTATGAACATTATTAGGATTGGCTGGTTTGGGTGCATCAATTTCACAAATTTTCAGTATTTTGAATTCTAGACAATTAACAAACTATGGTGATGATGATGTGGAATTATCGAATAGTGCATTTATTTATTTTTTAAGTGCATTTATAATTCTCGTAATTTCACTAATCTCATATGTCATATTGACAAAATTACCATTGTTTCTGTATCATCATCAAAATAAAAACATTAATGCTATAATTGAGGAAGAAGAAAGTGAAGAACAGTCTTTACTAAATAAAAATTTATTCAACATCACATTTACAAAAATAATTAGATTAGTATATTCAATAATATTTGTATTCATGATCACATTATCATTGTATCCATCTATCACAACTTCTGTCAAGTCAACAGTAAAAGATGATGAAAGATCAGGTTATCAAAAGGATTATCTATTTATACCACTACACTTCCTGATGTATAATTTTGGTGACTTGTTAGGGAAAAGCTTACCAATAATCAAATTCTTTGCTATTAAAAATATAGATTTGTTGATGTTGATGTCCACATCACGTATCATATTCATACCATTAATATTATTATGTAATATTGATATTGGTGATAAAAGATTATTTCCATTATTAATAACAAATGATTTCTTATATTTCTTTATTATAATTTTATTCTCATTTTCAAACGGTTACTTGGCATCTTTAATTATGATGACAGGTCCACAAATTCAAAATGTTAATAAAGGCTTAGCTGGAACACTTTTAACATTTTGTATGGTGCTTGGTTTAACAATTGGTTCACTATTATCATTTCCTATGAGATCTTTAAGTTGTGGTGGGTGTAATCCTTTCATTAATTAGAACATTATCTTATACATTTATATATTAAATTGTTGAATTTATTATTTATTACTATTTTTTTTTTTTTGCATGTAATATTAATTTATAATTTTGTATTGTAAAAAATTATGTATTAATTTTTTTAAAATAATTTTTAAAACAAAGGACCAATAAAAAAACTTAATTTAACAACTAAATATAATTTTATTCATTGTTCTTATTATTGATTGATTGATTGGTTCCAATTTCTTCTATATTGCCAACTCATTAAGATGCCAATCTTCATAACTTCCATCAGGCAAAAACCTTCGAATCATTAATGGAATCTTTTTTTGGCTAAGTTCCTTTCTAGCAATTTCAAGTGGATCGGTTTCATTACCTCGATCAACAAGAATTGGTGCATTCATACTAATCAATATATAAAATTTTTAATCATCTAAAACATTTTTAATAATATATAAAATTATATAACACAATAAATATATAAACACCTAATTTGTAAAGCTCTAGTTCCTAATATTCTAGCCTTTTCATATTTTGTTAAAAATGGAGTAGTAAATCTTTCTTTTTCTGGGATTTTTTTTTCATCTTCAATTTTTTTTTGGCCAACCAATCCAAGTCCATCTGGTAACCCGGCAGGAAAAATTCCAATACCACCAATATTGATAATTTCATCCTTTTTTGTTTCATCTGTTCTTTTATCTAGTTTTCCTTCTTGATTTTTTGCATCTTCTGTTGCAAAAGAAAAACCATTAGGAAGATCTTGTTCCATATAATCATCATCACCATCAACATCAACGTCTTGATCTAGATAATCATCGTCCTAAACAACAACATTTCAGAGTACCCTACTTTTAATAAATATACGTGTACGCATAAAATAACAACATCTATAACTTACATAGTAATTGCTAATTGAAAATGTTAATTAATTTTTAATTTTTAATTGTTGTGATCAAAGAATCAAAATAAAAGATTTATTATCTTTATTAATATTTACTTTCCAAGATCTTCTCCGAATTCTTCGTCAGACATATTTTTGTTTTGTGAGAGAAAGAAAAATTAAATTTTATGATTAACATTACCAAACAAAAAAGCATCATTACGTTGTACGAAATATACTAATTCGGAATTGTAAAGGTTTATCAACAGTTTTTTTTTTTTAATTGAAAAAAATTAAAATTTTTTTTTGCAACTAAAAAAAAAAAATAAAAAATAAAAAATAAAAATGCGAGTAAAAGTACAACCACATTTCTTAGGACTTACTCCAGAAAGGTTTAGACGATGGTAAATTTTGCTTTTAAGATTTGACATTTATATTAATAATAAATATAATAATAATAATTATTATTATTATAGGACACCGACAGCTATTGGATTTGGGACTACATTTGGAATCACTGCACTACTTTTTACTGAAACAATTCCCAGAATTCGTAGAGAAATATTATCGAATGTTCCGGTAGTTGGTAGCTATTGGAGAAATAAAATTGAAGATCAAAAATAAAAATAATAAAAAATATAAAAAATATCATAAAATTACAAAATTTTTATTTTTTATCAAATTCATGAATAAATTTTTATAGATCTATCTATAAGTGTATGGCATTGAACTTATTTAGTATTAACATATATTGTTTAAAAAAAAAAAGAATATAAATTACATAACAAAAATAAAACTTGATATTTGATAAAAATACAATATATTTATAAAAATTAATTCTAAATCAAATAAACATCATCATCGCCATTCATTATTTTGCAAAAATAGTAAAAGAACCGTAATTAATAATTGCACAAGCAATCATTACTATATGACAAAATAAAAAAAAATGTTAATTTTATAGGTATAAAGTAAAATTATTACAAGAAATTAAAAAAAAAAAAAAATAATACAAACCAAATAGAACTGGCACCCAAAATAAGTATAGCATTTTATCTTGTTTTAATTTTTTGACTTTTTGGCTATGATAATCTAGGCGTGCAAGTTGATCTTCATTTAAATTATTAGGTTCATAACCAAACTTACGATAAATACTGATGTGAGTAGAAGTTGGATGATCCTCCTCTGGGTTATGGGTAAAATTTATTGGCAACATATTGGCAATTCTTGAAAATCCTGTAATATCTTGTCCAATACATTTTGGCGATGATGGTTGTTGTGAATTACCTTCTGGTCTATTCCATATGTTACTTGCATTATTCCAGAAATTAGAATCAATATCTTTAGTATCATTAACCAGCCTTTTACAACTTCCACTACCACTAGCATCACCATCGAGTGTAGTTTCTATACTCTTTTCATAATTTCTAGTGAAACCTCCAACAAAACTAGGCGGAATAAAGGTTTGAAAAGTAACGGTTGGAAATTCTAAGTTGACATTCAAAGATGGCATTGATGGCATAGATGGTCGTGGGATTGATATATTTTTACTAAAATTCATTGTTGAAAATTTTGGTGAAGAGAAGTTGTTAAGATTTGGCATTTGTAGATTTGGCATTTTGATGTTTGGTAAATGAATATTTATTTGGGAGGGTTTGCTTATATTTGGCATATGCAGGTGAGCAAAAGTTTTTTGTAGCCAAACAGTTGATGCAGACGCTAAATCCGTAGCCATTTCTGAAAAATGTTGTTTTTCATTTTTCACACTAACCACTTCTGCATCGACGATTCCCTCTTCTTCTTCATCATTATCATTATTGTTTGATAAACTTGCAGCAGTTTCAGATTCTACCCACGAAATTGGCAAAGCTTCTAAATCATTTGTTAAAGAAGAGTTTTGATCGATATTGGATAATGATAATGATGATAACGATGATGATGATAATGATGATGATAGCGATGATAATGATCTTAAATCATTTTCATTTGAATAGCCCCTATTAATTGAAGATTGAGATTCATGGTCATAGAAATTATCATCATAATCATTATCAAAATCATCATCAGAATCATCAATTGTTTCATTTGACGATGTTTGTGACATCGATACGCCCGAATCTTGGAAATCATAATCATAAATTAAATCAGCAATATCATCAAAATTTCTGGAGATTGCTAAATCTATTGGACTTTGATAATTGAAGTTGAGAATATCATCATCAGCACCAGCTATTATATATAAACGGAGAGAAGATGGATGAATTAACATTAAAATTTATATAAATAAATAAATAATTTTGTGTGTTTGTTTATTCTTTACCTGACAAAAGTGACCTTACTATTTCTTTTCTTCCAGCCCATGCAGCATAATGAAGAGCTAAAATGTTTAAACAATATTAATTAACAAACAACAACCAACATATATAGTAATGAATATATTATACTGTATTTTAATTTACCCGTAAAGCCATATTCATCTTGTACATCCAAGTCAATTTCTCTTTCAATCAACACAAACAATAATTTTTGATAACCTAACATAGCAGCAAAATGTAACATGGTATGTTGTTGACGATCCTGTGAAGATATACTATCATTTTGATTAGTTTGAATCACATCCATTAAATCAATCAAGGAAATAATATTTTTTTCAAAATTATTAAAAATTGAAGCTTGATAAATCGATAATAGACCATTATCATTATTTAAACTATTTGTAGCATGGCTATTGCTGCCACCATTATTATTAGCATTATTAGCATTATTGGAATTGTTGTTCGTGTTCGTATTCATAAAATGAGAATTGTTGCTGTTGTTGCCTACAATTCTTGTGGCAATATTAAGCGCATCTTCAACTTTTCCAGTCATTTTCATTCCTATAACTTGTAATGCCAATTCCATTAACGCACGATCTGTATCTACTGTTATTTATATAATGATAAAATAATAATAATAATTACTATCAAGAAACAAATATCAAATAAATGTATAAAAAAATAATGATGATTACCATTAGTATAATTGAAAATAATAAGGTCTTGATTAGAATGTTCTTTAAAAGTAACAGCCACTGGTCCGGGGGTTGGTGAAGGTGGAAGATAACAAACTAAAGCATTTGGAGACCAAAATTGCGTTTGAAAAGCAGGTGTCTCACCAAAAACGCAGGTCAAACCATCTAATAGATATAATATATTAAATATATTAAATATATATATATATACATTCATAGATAGATACACACATAAATCTGTGAGACAGACCATAAAAATTACTTCCTAAAACAGTTACTTCAATTCCACCATGTACAGGACCTTCCGAAGGAATTAATTTGTTCATCCTTGGTATTTGGAATTCAGCTATTGTACCATTCTGGTTTATGGAAGCCGAGGCACTAGTTAAGTTCCCATTTGAGTTATAGAAAGGTCTTGAATTATTAGGAATACGTGAACTGTGAAATCTTATTGAATCAGCATCATTTCCTGTGTTTGTATTGTTAATGTTAAATCTCGTGGAACCACATCCAAAATTTTGTAGTAATTGTGTTGGATCATAAATAGAATTAGAACTGTTTATTGATGCTAGATTAATAATGTTTAAATTTTCATTGTTTATTGAAGGAGCAAAGTTATATTGAGAAGCAGATGTTTCCATAATAGAAGGTTGATCAAATTGTTGATGAATGTGCAATTGGTGAGGATATTGTTGTTGGTGATTTTGATGGTATTGATGAAATGATAATACACTGGCATTATTTGAAAGACTAGATAGACTTTGTGGAACATGAGGAATGGGTGAAAAAATTAAATTGGATGTGGTTTCTAGAGGAGGAGTTTGTTGTTTTTTTATATTGTTTTTTGATAATTCGGGAGATGGAGATAAAGACGACAGATTGTCTTTTGAGTCATCATTTGGAATAACGTTTAATAGTGAAGAATCTGGTTGAGTTTCAATCGGCGAAATGCTCATCATTAAATTATTATGACTGTTGTTGCTATTCCCATAAATACTGCTAGAAGAAGATGAGGTTGTGGTAGGAGAAGGAAGAGGAGGGGAAGGTGTGTGACGTTGTCTATCATTTAATTTTTTTTTAGATGAATTATTTGAATCAACAATATTACAACGACCATGCTTAGTTCTTAAACGTTTTTTTGCTATTCCATTCTTTGTTTTAGATGATTTATGATCATCAGTTATCATGATTGGAGGTGACATTCCTGTTGCAATAACATCATTTGTATGATCTTTTATTCTAAAACAAATGCTATTTTATTTTATTATAATAATGACATTGTTAATATTATAATTTTAAAAAAATAAAAATAAAAAAATATAATAATAAATTTTTTATTACCGGAATCCAACTTTTTCATTATGATGTCTACAATAACAAGTTATTCTTGTTGGTAAAATAATATCGCCACTGTTGAAGTCAACAATTTCATTACAATTAAATAAAAGAATTTTATTTTGTTCCAATTGCATCATTTTTTCATCATCTAAATCCATAGATTTACTATTGTCATTTGTTGATGGTTGTGGTTGTTGCATGAGATTTGAATTAGTGGCATTGCTATTATTATTATTATTTTTCTTATTTTCTTTTTTACGTTGTGAACGCTTTCTCTATTAAACAAGTTGATTGATTAATTAGTATAATCTAATTAATAATCTAATAAATATATACATAATAATGGTTTACCTCACGTTGAACACAACCAAGACAAGTAAGAACTTTTTTTGTTGTATCACTTGCACAGACAACAGACGCTTCTAGATTTAATATATGATCTTGCGAAACATTAGAAGAATGATCAGAAGGAACTTTTGAATTTTTGATTTTGAACTTTTCTTTTGCAACCATGTATTCAGGTAATTGTAAGTGAGACCAACAAGTGACCTTTTCTCCTTTTTCGGTAACAAGTTGCAAGCATAATTTAATTTGAGTTTCTACACGAGATTTAGCACCATTTTGATTTATTCCTAATATACGAATCTAATAATAAAAGTTTTATTGATTTAATAATAATTATAATAATAAATATATTATAATAATAGAAATTAGATTATTTGCCTGCAATCTTCAAAGAAAGAAAATAATATAAGTTAGATAAGACAATGTAAAAAAATAAATATGAATACAAATAAAAAGATCGTCAATAATTAATTACCTTTTATCAATAATATCTTGTATTTGATTTGAGGGACATTCAGTTGCAGTAGAATGAAGATTTTTCTCACTATATAAAAGCATAAATCTGATATTAACATGGATTTATTTTGCATAATATATAATACATAATAATTTTATAGCTCACATATTATTATCAAGTCCATTCATAATATCTGCATAATTTGTATTATTCTGAGTAAAATTGACAATATCTTGAGAATATGAAAACTGTTAAAGAAAATAAAAAACTTTAATAATTATAATATTGCGAGTAATATAATTACTATCGTGTGAGTAATATATAATTACTATTGAAGGAAACTTACGCCATTATTGTTGGTAGTGTGTGGTTGCTTTTGATTATAAACATCGGCAAAAGCTGAATTATAATTATTGTAATTGTTGTTATTAGAAGTAGTAGTAAACATTTGTTGTTGCTGATGATGATTAAGCTGTTGAATTTCACGGGCGGGTGAATGTTGAGGGGTTATGAAAAAATTGTTTGTGGGGATTTCATCTAGAACCTCAAGCTTTGGAATTAACATTTTCGAAATTTTTTTTTCTCGTATAATAATTTATATTTATATTAATGTACATGTATATGTAGAAAAAAATTTTTCTCAAGGAACTAAAAGTACGATGTATCAACCAAATTTGGAAACCCTGTCAATTTGTGTGCATGGCGCAGTCGGATTTCATTAACCAAAAATTTTAATTCTTAAATTTTTCTTTAGCTTGTGATAGATATTATGAATGAAAGTGGTAAGATTTTACAACTTTTATTTTAGACATTCCAAGGATTTTTGAATGATTATGGTTTTACAATTTAAAAATACAGGTAGTCTAACTGAAAATAAAAAAAGATACCAACCATATACTTCTCATTGCAGATAGATCATCATCCAGCCCAAATTATGATGTGTTTAAGTTGGAAAAACGTAGATGGTGTGCTATATACAGATCCCTTAAAGTGCAGTCGACAGATAAACCTTTTTTTTTGCTGTTAAAATAATCCGTTTTTATATAAATGTTAAGATATGAAAATTTTTGATGAATAGATCGAACAATTATAATTGAACTGGCATTAATATTATTAGCCATTTTTAATAAAATTCCCTTGGTAGAAATTTTCCGTTCTTCAAAGCTAAAAAAGAATATGAAAGAATACAGTGTGTTTCAAAAAAAATGGCATGCACAAAAAATCACATATTTCAACAATTATAGATTCATTTGAAAGCTTATCAAATATTTTATTAAATAAAAAAAATCAATAAGAAATTATACCACTTTTTTTTTTCTAAAACTAACCCACATTTCTGTTTCATAGACATAATAATATTTTTGACTGTTTCCTGAGGAATTCTTCAGCTATAAATCTCTCAATTCATCAAAATCCTTTTTTCAACATTATTTTTTATAATATACCACATATTTTCAATGGGATTAAGGTCAGGACTGTTGGATGGCCAGTCTATTATGCAAAATTCTTTTTTCAAAAATGAAGGTTTTTGTAACACATGATGTGTGTTTTGGATCATTATCCTGTTGCAAACGCCATGTAATATACATAATATACAAGTATTTATTATCATTCAAACAATCGTTTTTGTCATGTGAAAATTTTTTCTTCATTTTTAAAATAAATTTACATTTTGGCGCCACTTTTTTTAAAATACACTGAGCGAGGATGTAAAAGAATTAACCGAAAACGTCACCGAAATATTTATCCCACATTCAAAGTTCACGTGACTGACGAATAATTGATAAATTCAATTGCCTCATCTTAATAACAATCAACACGTGAGAAAGTTGTGATAATTTAGAATTTTTTATTTTTACATCATTTATAATTTTGCAATGATTAGTAAATTAAAAAAAACCATCATCTGTCAGGATGGCGTATGATTCATCAATTTTACTAAATTACTTATTAGACTTTTTAAACTTTCCATTTTTACGATCACATCAGTATATATATATATATATATATATATATAAATATGATTTATTATAATTATAAAGTAGTAAGTTGGTTGGTTTTCTTTTCGTTCCAGATTCTAAACTAGTAAAAAAAAAAAGCAAGAATTTATAATCGAAAAAAGTAGGTTTGTTGTTATCATCACCATCACCATCACCGTTACCATGTATGACATATTCATTACCTTTTTTTTTTATTTAAACATGCAAATGACCAAATAATAGACTGAATTTATGTTGACGATGGAACAAATCAATAGAAACAAACAGGATCAAAGCAATTGCGAGACAAAAACAAACAATGATTCGCTAAATATGACAACAACGACAACAACAAGAGAATTTGAGGACGTCATAATTGCTAGAGAAAATATTGCAACTATGCATACAGGTAAAAAATCTACAGAACATCCAACAATCACTACTATTACTACTAGTAATAGTAGCATCAATGATACGAACCAGAATTATCTTCAAATTGCGTTATTGTCGTCATCGCCTATAATTAATAATGACATAAAATTAAAAGAAAACCACGATGAAGATAAAAATGTATCCTTTTCTAACTCTTTATCAAAAAATTCTCAAAGTAATGAAAATGATAATAGCAACAACAACTACAATACATCTTTTCCGCCTTCCCCTTCTAATTCGCTTTCTAATAATACAACAAAAACACTTGATAGCACACAAATAACAAAAAAATTAGAGTCTGCGTCTAATTTAATCAGCTCGCCTGCTACTTCGAGTTTGAATAAGAATCGTGCAGGATATACATTAGCATTAGGGTATCAAAGTCAAATGCATCAAAACATACCACAAATCTCACCATATACTAATAAATATTATCAACACCAACAAGCAATTCAATCACGAGTTTATATTGATCCGATTACATATTCACCATATCATCATCAGCATCATCATCATCATCACCATCATTATCAACAACAACAGGAGCGGCAAATACTATCTTTACAAAGTCATCAATACCATCAATTCGCTTCAAAATATCAGAAACAACATTATAATCACATTCAAGCTAATCAGCATATGGTCGGAAATCCTCCTCCTCAATTAACATTATTATCAAATGTTGGTGGTAAAAGCCAATCTCTTTTACAACATTTACCAATTCCATTACAAACACATAGTCAACCAACATTAAATCATCCACAGCAACAACAACACGAGCCAACAATACAAACAAACAGTCAATCAACGATATTGGAAGAAGAACGTCAAAAAAGAAGACTTGAACGTAATCGTATTGCTGCAAGACAATGTCGCGAACGCAAAAAAGTTTATGTTGCAAATCTTGAATCAAAAGTCACAAGACTTGAAGATGAAAATTTATATTTACGAGAACAACTTGCTGAATTAAACACACGACTTCAATATAGTCCTATGGATGTTCAAGAATGCTTAAGATTGTACATGATGGTTGAAGATTTGAAGTCTAAACTGAACGACGAAAATAATCAAAATGCACATATAAAAGTCAATAATAAATCTACTGTTAGCCAAGAAATCAAGTGATTATGAATAGAGAATGTGAATATGTGAATGTGAATGTGAATGCAAATCACTTGTTTATGGATAGAGAATTTCATTGTGAATCTTTTTTTCTGTAACATTTAATAACTCTTTGATTCATTGTATATTACGATTAAAATAAAAAAAGTCTTAATTAATTTCAATTAATTAATCCAACTATATTTTAATTGGTTTTTAACAATATATAAAAAAAAAATAGCGAGTTGTACCAAGTGGACAAATTATTAATACACATCGTATAAGTGCGAAGATTTATTTGTTTTATTGTATAATTCGGTAAATATTTATTATTGTTGAATAATATATACTTATACAATATTTTTTTTTTGATTTTGTAACATTTATTTACGATTGAATCTTAAATTCAAGGGGCATTCTTTTCATAAATAAATTGATTATCTCCTTTTTTTCTTTTTTTTTCCTCTTTCTTTTTTAAAGAAAAAAATATGACAAGAAAAAATACTTTGCTTGTTATTTTATCGTTATTTTATTATTTCGTTTTAGTGTTTTCATATCTTACACAAGACGATATTAGAGAAATAACGGATTTTGTTCAAAATGTAAAAAATGATTATGAAGAATTTGATTCTAATGAACATTTGGTTGGTCAATTACCCTTTGAAAAACATTCAAAAATTCAAACTAATAGTTATGCTGGATATATAAAAATTAGATCCTTTGAAACAACCGAGGGAAAAGGAAACTCAAGCTTGTCAGTTTTATTATTATTATTATCATTATCAATTAATTAATCACATAATGAATGTTCAATGGTTTAATTCGAATGAATATAATCTTCCTATAGGTTTTATTGGTTTTTTCCTGCTCAAGAGCCTCTAGTTGAAAATCCACCTTTGTTAATGTAAGTCATTAACTTCTATGAAGATGTTTATTTTATTCCTTATTTAGAAATAAACTAATTCGTGGGATGAATAAAGATGGTTACAAGGTGGGCCTGGGTCAAGTTCTATGATTGGGCTTTTCGAAGAAGTAAGAGGGGTCTTTTTCTTAAAAATACTATTTGATGATTACTAATAAAATAAAATTCTTAATTAGCATGGGCCATTTAAGGTTACGACAAATTATAAGTTGGAACTAAATCCGTATACTTGGAATAAGCATTATAGCATGTTATACATTGATCAACCTGTTGGAACTGGTTGGTCATATGTAGAACCTCAAGATCTGCCGCCGCCACATGAACATTTGTATCACCAATTAAACATGGACAATATTAATATTATTAGAAATCCCTCTTCATCTCCATTTTCACCTAACAATAGTTATCTTGACGGATATGTAATAAATCAAAAAGGAGTAGCTAAAGATTTGCTTATATTTATGAAAGAATTTTATCAAAGATATCCCAAACAAAAGAAATCTGATCTTTACATTTCTGGGGAAAGTTATGCAGGGAAATTCATTCCATCATTTTCTTATGCTATTCACCATTACAATAAAATAGTTAGAGAATGTAGGTGCATATATAAGTTTTTTTGATAATCAAATCATCATTTTTTATGATAATTTATAATTTGTAATTAATCATCTGTTATGTTAGTTGATTCTAATGCGATTCTACCACTCAAAGGAATTGCAGTTGGCAGTGGGTTAACCGATCCGGTTACACAAATTAAAGTTCATGGAGAACATGCATTTCAACTTGGTATTAATTTATTTGTTTTTTTTTTCATTAATTAATAAAAAAAATTAAATTAAAAAAATTTTTATTCCAGGACTTGTTTCTAGAGAAGACGCAGATTATTTGAATTATTTAAGCGGAGTAGTAATAAAATATATTAAAAATAATGATTATGTAAACGCCAATCGTGTCCGAGTCTCATTATTTGCTTATTATAAAAAAGTTTCAGGGGACGTTAATATGTATGATGTAAGGAAAAAAAGTATTCAAAATGATTGGAGTTTGATGGAAAATTTTTTAAATATGAAAGAAATCAAAGCTTCATTAAATGTTGGGGATAGAAGTTTCTTTAAAGACTATAATGTTATTAAATATTTGGACGATGATATTATGAGATCGGTAGCATCACTTTTCACAGATTTAATAGAGAATTATAAAGTTTTATTGTTTCAAGGTAATTGTGATTTTAGAGATGGTGTAAGTGGTAATACTGAATGGATTTACAAACTTGAATTTCGTGGAGCTGAAAAATTTAGGAAGCTTCCAAGAAAGGTAAATCATCAATGATCACATTATTAAAAATGTTGTGCTTGCTGTGTGATATTTACAAGTATTTAAGGTTTTATTATTTGATTTTCTTAGATTTGGAAAGTAAAAGACGATTTGAAAGGATATGCTGTCCAATATGAAAATATAACTAGAGTTATCGTATTAAATGCTGGTCATTTAGTTCCAATGGATCAACCTGTAAGAAGTTATTATTATTGCTATTATTGTTATTATTTGATTTTATCATTTGGACTAATTTTTCTCTTTTAATTATAACAATATGTAATAGGAGGCAAGTTATCATATGATTACAAACTTTATAGAAGACAAACCATTTTAATTAACATGAAAAATAGGCATTAAAATTAATTGCTTATTTAATTTTAATTTATCGTATTTATTTATTATTAATTAATTAATTAATTACAATAATGATTTACACTAATACTAATTTAATGATTAATGATTTAATGAATTTAATAAAAAACTTTAATACTAATTAAAACTATTAATAAATTACCGAATAAATTCAAATAATTAAAAATCATGTTTGGCCTATTTGATGAAGATGATGAATGATCACCAGTAGTATTATTAGAACTTGAAGAATTTTGAGTCATAGATGAAGGTGTCAATGATGGTTTAGAAGAAGGAGTAGGACCATCATTATTTTTATGATTATTTGATGATGATGACGGGTTAGAATTTGATTGACCACCTGTTGCAGGAACAATTTGTGGTTGTTGCTGTTGAGAAGATTGAGGAGATGCTGAAGGTTGTTGACCAAATTTAGGAAGACTTGCTGAACCTGGTGCAAGTCCACTATTCATCGGATCTAAACTTGGACGTCCAAGACCATTATTTTGGTCGCCAAATTTAGGAGAAAGTTTGCTGCCTTGACTCGCCAAGTCTGGTTGAATCCCTCCTAAACCGTTGCTTCCTGGTATTGATGGAAGTGATCCAGGTGATGGTTGAGATTGAGGAGAAATTGTTCCTTGAGATGTTGGTAGTTTTTGTGCGTAAATATAATAAAATGATATAAAATTATTGAACGGTAATAATAAAGTGAACATTAACAATTTAGATTGAAGCATAATTTTGCAATGTATATTTTTGTTTACAAGTAAAAAAATATATTTTGAGAGAGAATAACAAAGGAGAAAATTTATATTTTCTAATGAAAGAAAGATATAAAGATTCGTTTTCAAGAAAAATGGGGTTTATATAGATAGATGATGAGTAATTATCATCATTATTTATTACTACTTAAGAAATCATTTTTCGTCGTCGTATTGAAATTTCTTGGGTGATGATGATGATGGATGGATGTAATTTGATTTAATCGAATCAATAATTCAGAATGTTTTTTTCTTGTTTTTTATATGATAACGATAACGAGTTAACGAACGAATAATTTATTGAACTTTTAATATTAATTAATTGATGATTAATAATAAGAATATTAACCAAAGGTTGCTACTTGCCAAAACATATTTTTATGTGTGAATGTCGATTAACGGATTGACGATTAAACCGATTAACGGATTAATATTAACGATTAACGATTAGCATTAGTATTGGAGAATAAATAAATGATTATAATTTTTTTTCTAATATTTAATTTTATTGTTTGGTTTTTTTTCATTTTAAGATTACTCATCAATATAATCATTGATTAATTTAAAATATTTTGCTATTTTCTTGGTAAAAATCAATCAAAATCAAAATTCTCTATTTTATGATTTTTAATAATTAATTCTTTTTCTTTTACATGAAAGGATCCATTAACCGAGTATTTATAACATTATTGTTGCACGAGATTTATTTATAGAATATATAACATTCCCGATTTGGCAGCAATGTATAAAAATACCGTTTATACGAAGTAAAATTACAGGGGACCTACATTTTGAAATTTCATGGCCCCTCGTCGTCATAGAGCCAGTCGGTCAGTCAATTGATAATGAATAATTTTCAATGAATAATTTCATTCATTCATTTATAAATATATAATAATTAAAATAATTGAAAGGACGATTTGGTCATGGGAACAACTGAAAATATAGTTTTTCGATTGCATAATAATAAAATAATAATTATAAATAATTTCTCCCTATCAATCAATCATTTTGACGAGTTACACAATCAATCATATTTATACATATATAAATGGTTCAGCGGTATTCAAAATCCGTATCGGTATCTCTTAAAAAATTTCCCACCGTCTCAACAAAAATAATTAAAAAAAACAAGGTTCCGAGACTTTTTTTTTGTTTTTTAGAGAAAACAATTTATCATTTAGAACAAATTCTCCGAGTAATTAATTGGGTAAGTCATTAATTAATATCTTTATTTTTATATTAGATAAAATTTTCTTATGTTTTTATAATAATAGTAATAGTAATATAAATTTTTTTAAAAAAGTGTTTTTCAAGGTATATATGTTATTCGTGTAACAACTATCACTAACACACAATAAAAAGATTTGTTTACATCGATTTTTATTTTTATTTTTTTTATTTTTTTTAAAAAAATTTTTAGATTTTTTTTCTCTTTTCCCTTCTCTCTAAAAAAGCCAACAATCAACAATTCTCGTTCGTTATTATTTTCCCATATATAAATATCATCTGATTTGATTTTTCTTTACCGTGTCACCCTTATACTTATCCTTATCATCATCATCGTCGCCACATACGCGTCATGACCGCAACAGCTTGTAAAACTAAGAGTTGTTTTGAGTTCCTTCTTTCAAATGTTACCAAGATCACCAACACAGTTTATAGTCCACCTTTTGGCACTTCTCACGATATGTTTTGGCAACTTGAATTTATACCTGTAGGTTTGTTTTATCATTATTGTCCAAATTATATTATATTAAGATTGTGTTGAATTCAGCATTCTCCGAGATTTGGCTTTTTCTTCCACTTACCTCTTTACATTTATTTATCAATTAATCAATGTTCTAGAATTCTTCCGAGGAACCAAACCATTGCGCTGCCTTTCTTTTTGCAATACCAAATCATGAAGAGGCAAATAATCCGGGTACATGGTCAAGACGTAATACGTTGAACGCTAAAATTTATTTAAAAAATGCAAGAAATCAAACATTTCTTAAAAAACAAGCAGTAAAAATGAATTCTTTTTCTACAAAATTATCTGGATGGGGTAAATTATCATTATCATCATTACTACTATTGTTATTAATCTTAATTATTTATACCTAATATTATATTATTTAATTCTCAATAAAAAAAAAAAAAAGGTTGGGAGGCTTTTTATATTAAGGCTAATTTACCAGATCATGTATTGTTTGGTGTAGAGTTTGAACGAGTGGAAATGGGGCTTGTATCACAAAAATGGCCTTTACCAAATAGTCCAAATCAAAGTGAAATTATTCCACATGATTTGTTAAAAGCTTGGGAAAGCTTATTAAATAATCCAATAACTTCTGATGTACAATTTGATATACAAGGTCAAATAATTTATGCGAATTCTTTTATACTTTCATCAAGATCAAAATATTTTCAATTAATACTTCAAGGTAAATGGTTAGAATCAGAACCCCGTAATCCCAACAACAACAATAATAGTAATAGTAATAGTAGTAGTAATAGTAGTAATAGTAGTAATAATAATAGTATTAATAGTAATAATAGTAATAATCCAATGAATAGTAATAATAATAATTCTCAACAAAATAAAGAGAAAAAGGGTCATCGTCAACAAAATCCGCAACGTCCAATATCTAATAACAGTAATAGTAACAGTAATAATAATAATAGCAGCAACAGTAGTAGAGTGATTGAGGTGACAGATTTTCATTATTTAACATTTTTAGAAATGCTAAGATTTCTTTACACCAACAATGTTACATTTGTTGATAAAAAAGATGAAAAAAATTCTCATGGATCAGCTTTAGAACTTTATAGAATTTCTGACAAGTATTTGATTGATGATTTACGTGAACTTGCCAAAGCAGAGATTTTTAAAGATTTAAATGTTAATGACGCAGCAGAATTTTTATTTGGCACAGCTTGGCAATATCCGGAGTTGAAAGAACAAGCAATGAAATTTTTTGTTAATCATTTTCCAAATATAAGACAAACAATCGGTTTCAAAAATATTCTTGCTGATCCTTCGAGTTATCCTGCTTTCATTGATACATTCAATGAAGCTTTAGCTGAATTGTTTCCAGTCACTGGGAGTGTTAATACCGGAAAGCCTGTTAAAGAAGGTTCTTAAGAGAATTATGAAGGGAAAAGAAGGGGGTGTACGTTTATGAATGAATGAATATGAGATAATAATAAAGAAAGCGAAATTATGAAATTGTGAAAGAACAATGAGTTTAATAATTAATAATTTTTCTTTTATTTGCCTTTTTTTTTAATCAAAAACTTTTTTCTTTATTTTTTTTTTATTAGATTTTATATGTTTCTATATGTTTTATGTGGTTTGTTTCTTGATCAAAATGTAAATTATTGAATTAATATTAATTATTATATAGATACGTCAAATTCGTATAGAAAATTATAAATTATGTATAAATATTTTGTTGTATATATGACACATATAAGATGGATTTAATGGGAAATCTTTTTCCTTCTTGTCTATGATATTTCTCTCGTAATATTTCTCTTCCTTTAAGTTATTATTTCAGGTTTTATTCTATTCTAGAAAATAAATTATTTTTATCACCTCTCTCAAATAATATTGATTGATTCTCGAAATATTTTTAAATAGTTATTTATATGCTTGCTTATCATTACTTTAACATCACTGCCACTACTACTACTACAATAATAATAAACTATGGTTATAATAAAATCAAATAATTAATTGGATACCAAATC